CGCGATGCCGGGGCGCGACGGAGACGGCAGGAGAGGGAGAAAGAGAGGCGAGCGCGAGCAGGAAGAGCGGCACGAGCGCGAGCCGGGGACTTCGGGTGTACTCGGCCGCTCAGTCGAACGCGCGATTACAAGCACACGGGACGCGTGGGCTCTCTCTCTCGACGGCCAGGCTGAAAGTGTTTCTCGTTCGTACGCGAGACCACGTGCCTTGCCGGCAAGCCCGCCGGAACGTAACGCGAGAACGAGCGTGTCTCACCCCCGAGTGACACGGGGCGAAACGGACATCGACGACCGATCCATCCTCGCCCGGGGACCACCTGGAGGCCCACCGGTCTTCCCTCCCGAAGACACCGCGGATTCTCGCGCCCGCCATCCTCTCCGTCTCTCTCCCCCTCTCGCTTTCTTCGCCCGACTATCTCTATCCGCCTCCCCCTTTCTTCCTCTATCTCCCACCATCCCCTTGGATGCACCGCGGAGAACACACGACGTGTCGCCGGCAAAGAATCGCGGCGAGGACGGTGCGCGGCTGCAGTGTGTGGGTGGTTTGTCTGTTGGTGACTTGAGTGAACCGAAGATCAAAGCGGAAGATCGACCGCCGATCCTCCACCGAGCCGGGGGAAGGAGGAGCCATCGCGGGACCGCTGGATCCAGATGTCACGGGCGCAACGATCGGTGAGTCGGAATTTCTTTTCTTGTTGCGCAACAGTTCGAAACTCCTGACGGCGGGGAGAACATTTAGGAACCCTCGAAGCAAGGGACGCAGGGAGGTTGTATCACTCCGAGTTCTTGGATTTTACATCGATCCTTCGAATCGTCGATCGTACCGTCCGGCTTTTTTCGTTCTTCCGAGATTCGAATCGGGAGTGTGTCTTAAGGGTAGAACAAGCGGAAGTCTGGAGATTTACTGGAATATACGAAGCCTTCGGCGGATGAAGCTAAATTACACATGAATCGTTTAATTAATAAGAAAGTAGGCAGCTACGCGATCTCTTTCGACTGATCGAATCATTCGTCCGCGACTTCTTCCAAACGTTTCATCTTAAATCGTCGACGTCCGTTCGCGAAGGGTTGGTTCTTCGAGTTCGGCCGAACAGGCTGGTCCCGGTGAAACCGATCCGTCGAGAGGCGTCGAACGGAGGAGCGCGATCTTTCTCGAGTTTAGCGGCGCGAGGAGAGGCCGGGCGTTTTTGAGCGAAATTGGTGAAATCGGGGCAGGAAGGGATCATTGACCGTGCGGATTAAGACTGACTAGGACATCGTCGAAAGTTCCGGCGGTTTCGCTCGTGGAAAAAGTGTACGGTTCCTCTGGAACGGTGAACCGCGACCCAGTTACCGCGCCGAACTTTTCCAGAGGCCTCCGCCGCGCGGTTTTCGAGCCGGTCACGCCGCCGGGGGTCATCGAAACGCATATCCGCGCCCGCGCGCGCGCGCGCTCGCCGCTTCGATTCCACGCGTCAGTATTCTTGGTACATTGTTTACGTTCCTAGCGAAACGCGCTCGGACGGACAGAGCCGCTCCTTTAGTTGGGGCCGAAATAGATTCGTAACATTCTACGCGCGGGTTGAACACCGACGCGTCAATATTTAACTTTACCCCAGGAATATCTTTGAACGGCGAACCCGTTCGACTCGATCGGCCACCCTTGTCGGCTCGCGTTTCGTTTAGGCTTCGCCGGACGAACGAATCCTTCGGGGATCACGTCCGACTCACGATTTCCACGAAATTCTTCCATCCAGGGATGCTACCATAATTCGATAATGTAGGTTCTCTTTGGAAATTGACCCTTTGCACCGTAGATTTGACCGTCTTACAGCAAAATATAGGGAGATTCTGAAGCTTCGTATCGAAAGCAAAGGAGAATAGCTTTATTCTCGTATGTTACGTCTCATGGGAAAACGTTGAATATTTCTAAAGACAAGCTTCCGAGCGCGAGCCGTTAAACAAGAGGAACGAAGCAGCATTCGGCTGCAAACGAAACCGTCCCGATCGTCGTTGCATCGTTGAAAAATCCGTTTGCGTTCCGTTTCTATTCCCGGGGCGTTTACTATTTCGTAGACCGCGTGTTTTTCAATTGCAGATAAACACCTCGTTAACGGGCCGCGTCCGTCGCTGATCAAACAACTCCCGATCGATTCCGCTTAATTAGCTGTACTCGCGAGGAGCGGTGTCGTTGCGCTATGACGATAAACGGGACCGCGTCGCGAGTTACGTTTATCTTTACGTGACGCAAGCCCTCGTTCGGCCGTCGTCCATCGATGACGTACGGCCGACGACTTTTATTTACGCTCGGCGGATACCGCGCGCTTTCTTTCGCCGGCCGGGTTTCTATTAAAAATTTTTAATGGTCCCGCGGTCGGCGCTAATTACGCCGGAACGAAAAAAAGTGTCCGAAGCGCGGGCGAGCGAAGGAGAGCGAGCGAGCTCGCGGGCGGGAGGGAGAGAGAGGCAGATAGAAAGCGGCGTCGGAATAAAGAACGCCGACGCGATGCGGTGTTACGGAAAGTCAGCGTAAACGAGTAAGCGTTACGAGCCCGTAACGTCACGTCCAACGATATATATATATATATGCACGTGTATATGTATATATATGTACATATATGTATATTTATAACGAATCGCGGAAATCATAATTCCGAGGGGACGCGAAGGCTGCTCCGCGAATTACAGAGAAAGTCTCTCCGCGTAGTACACACGAGCCAGCGAGCACGCCGCGTTTTCTCTGTCGGCTGCGTGCCGGATCGCGAAAGGTAAAAATCCCCGGCCGATGAAAAGTGAAATTAACGAAATCGTCGTTGAGTCACTCGGCTCTTTCCTATGCGCGCGTCGGCTCGATATCTCGGTGCCTGTAACGAAGCCGCGGGATTTACGAGCGGTTTCTTTGACCCTCGAGGAAATCGAACCTTTCCGCGGTTCGCTGAACGATCGCCCCGTGTCCGGCGAGAGAGACACGCGATCGAACGCTCGAGCTTTCGCGAGTCGGTGGTCACCGGTGACCGACGCCCCCGAATCGCTAGTGATTACCGTACGATCAACGCTTCGCACTCCGAGCAATTTTTAGTTTGACTTAGAAACTTATTATTTTTACCATAAGCTGCCTGATAACTAGGAGTATACTACCGTGAGAGATCGAAGATCTTGTTTTGTCGTTATGAGAAACGCGTGTA